TAAATGTTAGGCAAAAAAGGTAATGAAGACCAATAAAGATCAAGGTAAGTAGATTAGGAATCTAGAATTAAATACCTCTTTAATAAACGACAATCTAGCAAGCCAAACCGAAATCCAAAACCAGATAAGTATTTGATTAGGGAACCCCAAACATTAGGAGGAAATGTAGGTCGTTCTGAATTAAATTCGTCAATTTCGCCAACAACAGCCAAGAGCCAAACACTGTCCTTGTTGTCTTCGACCTGCTCTATAAAAAGGGATTCTGTATCAAATATCATGCTTGTAAGAGATGTATGATCCACTTTAGAGTATCTATCAAGCACTTTTCTTTTATTAAGAATAACGTAATCATAATTATCCGGTTTTTTATTGTTGCTTGACTCGTCAAGAATAGCCAATTTTTCGGCAGCAACAAATTCCTCTCTTGTTATCTCACCTAAATATTAAATAATAAAACCTTAATACCCGATGCTTTTATTATCTCAATTAGCTCCTGACGTTCTATCGCGTTTATGAAAGGTAGCCCCCTTTGCCTTATAAGGGCTTTTAGCATGGACGCTTTGGCTTTTTTGTTTAAGGACATCACATAAGACTGCTTTGATGAAGATTCAATAGAAGTCGTCTTATTCTCTGTTATAGAAGCCCTTGCATATTCAGCAAGGAGCTCGTCCATGAGATGGTACATGTGCGATGTGGCACATAAACAAATCACAAAGCCGAACAAAATTGTAGTGTTAACCCCGAAGGATGAAAGATTTCTAACTCTGCGCCTGCCTCTCAAAGCCCTTCGCATGATTGGAGAGAGAAAAGGTGATCTCATGTCTAGGGATGCTGGAAAGTTTTCACTGCCATCGAAGAGGCTATGCTCCATCTCAACTGGACGCGTATGAGGGGCCTGATGAATACAGGTCTTGTCAATAACGAAGATATTTATACATTCAAAGAAAAATGTTGAATCAAATATCAAAGAACAATTTTTATTAAATTTAAAATATTTATGACACATAATTTTCTATCAATAGAACTTTCTTTGTATAATAGCTTTTGTTTCAGGACGAAAATGCGCTCCATCACATAAACCGAGATAGATTTGCTGAATTGTTTAATTGAATCCAAACCTATTAGAAAGCTACAGATTTATCAAATTTTTTGTGTTTTGGATGTAGGATTTAGAATCTATTATTATAATTTGAGTTAGCTCAGTTAATATCATGGCCTATTATCATTGGAGTTGAGAACGATGAATTATTTAGATATACATTTTGTCATATATCCCCACTCTCTAGCCTTCGCAAATTAGAAAATAACTCTAGAAAAGAGCTTATTTATTGAGCTTCATGAATTGGAGATTCCAAATGCTTTCTAGGTCATTATTACATTTCGCTAACTCGCAGACTAATTCACTAACTTCCTAAGTTTCTAACTCCCACTAATGATAAGTCTCGAACAGCAAGCTATATGATACAACTGATTGCCTTGAGTTATATCAGCAAAAGGGTCTATCAATATTATATATAAAGTGCAAATTGCTAATCGGTTTGGCCTTTTATCGGATTGCCGCCTAATACTGCTAGAGTGATTTGGTTGACTTGGATAGAGCAATATAGAAAATAATTCCCCTTAAGAGTTGATTTGTAACACAATTATAATTAACTCCATCAAATTTATACTCCACTATAGGTGAAGCTTTAAAAGTTTGATATATTGGCCCCCAAATCATTAACCAATAGTGTCTCTAGAGTATTATTGATAATATGAGATG